GTTAGTGTCAGTGTTAGCTAAAAATACTTCCTGATACCAAAACTGATTTGGGCTGAATTTTTTATTTGAATAAATAGTTTATCACACATACTTCCTTTCCAGTTATTTTAATGAACTTAAGGATTAAATTTGATATCGAGGTGATTTTTGTTAGTTTTGGGTACCAATTAATTTAGATTAATCCCTGCCAAGTTGAACGCATGGAAAACGACAATCTCATTCCTGAGACATTGATGAATTGAATAATCTGATGAGCAACTGTCAACTCAGCAACTCATCATAGATCTTTAGTAAGTGGGGGTTAGCTAAGCACCTACCGCCTGAACTAAAGCTGTATAAATCTATTCCTAAATGTTTGTGCTAGTGAGTCACTCAAACCTCGTTATGATGATTTGGAGAAAGACTCTGGCTGTACTCATGGCTTCTGCCCACCAGACCCATTTACAGGGGACCTCCTTTTCATCTAGCCCTTCTTACTTTGTTCCCCTATTTTTTATTGGTTTCCCAACTCCGGAAGCCAGGCAGTAATTAATGGGACGATGAGTTTTTCAGTGCGACCATCCAGGCTATTTCTTCAAATTATCGTTTTCTAAGTAGATATGGACACCCAAAGCTATCGCATAGAATGGTTCCCGCAGGTCTGTATTGACACGATTGAGAATGCACTCACCTTACCACCTGCGGTTTCCTCACCTACGGCCGTCAATGCTGCTTCGGGTTCACCGCACTCAGTAGACACTGACAGCGAAGTTATTACAGCAACGGTTAGAGTGAGTTTGCCCTTTTTCCATGCCCATTCGCCCTTTCAATTATTTCAGAAAGTCGGTGATGGGTTTCGGGAGTGAGTGCATTGCGATGGGACCTAAGTCTTGTGGCGCTCAGATTGCCTATGGAGACATGAGATGCATCAGTCTGGAACCGGGTCCGGAGGTTATCGGAAAAGCGACATAAGTAGGAATGCCAGCTACAAGGGACTTACAAAGTCCCACAATCAATGTTCCAATTAAAGGAAATTTTATTGTCGCGTAAAGTAATAATGTATCTGCAAAGGTCACTGGGGTGTCACCGATTCGACCCTTGCAAATGAGTTTCGCCTAAGGAACAGAATATTGCAGCTAATAGTCTTATTTTCTCTATGTTTATTCTGTTTCATGTGGATTATGATCTATGACTAATTCATGGCTTTGAGAAGTCTATAAAAGTAAAACAAGGAGGGCACTCAGATGCACTTAAAACAATGGTATAACTTAACAAAGGGGAAAATTAAGAACATCCGAATTCAAAGCTCGATTGTGAAAATTCCCATAAAATAGGATATCGATTAACGTCTATGTTCCGATACTGGAAAACCTATGTAATGTCATAGCATTTCATGCTATCGCGTTTTATTACTGCTAGGGGTATAATGAGTTCCTCCTCTCCCTTCGTAGATGTTAGTTTCGGCCACTCCTGTGTATAATGTGCCGTCGCTCTGAGATTGCGTGCTAAAGAGGATGGAGGTAGGGGACCGAGTGGGCTGTGGTATGCCCTCGTCTCCACCCTATTCACTGACAGCCTCGCGTGTCCATTACTGCAACAACGTAGTCCTCGTGCGTGTCACTTCGAATTGTCTGATTTAAATAAGGATTCGACTCAGATAAGCTATTTCGAAAATGGCGGCAAGATAGAGGAAAGTTGGCAGCTCTCTTTGGGAGTGATATCATGCTTTGTTTAACTTATTGAGACCTAATAGGTTTAAAAGGTACCTTGTAGTGACACCATAGTTTTGGTGGTTATAAGTAACAGGCAGATAACGTATTCCTTTAGATACAAGGGTTTTCTACGTTTGGGTAATCATAACACAAAACAATCATTTTTTGACCTTTGCTGGGTTAAATCTGCACCTAAAAATCCTCTTTGATTCTTACTCAACGATCTGAACTTTTGCGTTACTTATTCGTCTTCCAGATTTTCTGATTTAAAGTAACAAAGCCTTACTGCCGTAGTGTCGCAAACACCTGAAATGATGGAACTGGTCCCACTCCCTGGTGGAACTTAATAAAATTTTTTCACACTTGCATGCAGAATAGCGCGTTTATCGTTTGGATTGGTCATCGCCGTTGACGTTGGGTGTTTACCGCCCGCAATCCGCTCTCTCTGTCTCTGACATCGCAGGTCAAGAGAGACGAGGCATTAGAGAGGCGAAATTGTAACTTTTTCATCTTCTATCTTCACTTGTGTGTCTCGTAGGTTTTTGCTATAGGGTATCAATAAATGCAACATTTTGAAGGTGCTTGTGAATCGGCCATGTCTGAATCACTCTAACTGGTGATATTCAGTCTGATGCTCGTAATCACTTTGTTAGTAAAGAGGGGTCGGGGGATTAGCAGTAGAGTTGCATTGTCAGAATGGATTTTGGTGGAGTGAATCATCGCACGGTAACATGCATAATTTATAATTCAGCCAAAAAACAGCAAGCTTAAAGTTCATGAAATCTCTAAATTGAAAATGTGGAACACTGAAATTTTAATTTATCCATCGTAGAGTCGAATATTTCGACTGACTAAACTGAAGTTCAGTTGTGTCTACTTGGTGCGACTCACACCAGAGAAGGCAGACGATATGCGCTCACGTTTTGATTCGCCACGACAACCCGAGCAATATCGCCTTGTCAACGGTGCTCCTTCGTCTGCGTTTTCTTCATCAAGTGACAGTGCAGAGGACGTGGTGGCCGGATGTTTTTGTACCCGTTCCTGCCACGAAACCAAAACTGCTTGGGGTACGAAACCCATAGATTGCCCTGCTGCAGGTGAGTCCCCTTCTACCAAAAGCACCCGTTACAGTGGTTTGGTGATTCAAATGCCAGATGATTTCAAAAAAGAAATGCATCACCATGCCCAAATTTCTGCCATTTCACAAGAGTCTCTGTCATTTTAATTTCATTTAATCACCCATTTTTTATCAAACTACTAGCAATAGTCATCAAAACAAGGTGTAGCTTTGCGTATTTAAATTCATAATGCATTAATTGTTAAACAAACATCATTTTTTATTCATTGTACCATAGTCCTGGACTTACCTGTAATACTCCCATTATTGGTGACTATGTGGGGTCTGATGGGAACGTGCGTCCCTATGGTTTCTTGTCACCAGGAGCAGCTCTGCCATTCTCGAATGCCAGCAGGGCTGTCGCTATGGCATCCTTCAAAAAAACAATAGAGCACTCCTTTAAAGACCTAATTTTAAATATTTTGCGAATTTTCTCCTCTTAATGAGATTCGCCCCAGTCATTATACTCGGAAGGTAGGAATCTGTCACATAAACTTTCTACTAACTTCTTTTGTTATTGTGGAGCGAGTTTCGTAAGCCTCTTCACGTCACTATCAATGCCACCTCCGTTGTTTTTTTCACGTAGAGATTGCTGATTTCCCTTACAAAACAGTGAATTATAGTAAACACCAACCTCTTTTGGAAGAGGATTTTGCAAGAGAGGAAGGACTTGCAGCATAAACTGACAAACACCTATTTTTTTAGAAAAAGAAACTTATTTTGACCGTTATAAATTAGCTTTTTACTTACCTTGGAAGCAATGTCTCTGAATGTTATTCATGCACCAAAATCTTCTCCTAGATCATTCGAAAATAACTCGTAATATTTTAGTGGAAAGTACGTTTGTGGGTTTTGGATACAACAAAGATAAATAAGGAGGCAGACCTTCAAGGACCATAAGTCATGGTTCACTCGAACTGCATTAGCAAATTGACTTAACGTCTCTTAATGACAGCTTGATTAGTTTCGGCACCTAGGGAAGTTCGAAGATTTGGTAATGTAAATGTCACAATCGAGATTATTTGAAAGGATGAGGTATAACGAATTTTCGCTTTTACACTATTGCAGTTATGTAAATCTTTCTTCAAATCAGTTACTGGTTTGAACACTACTAGAAACCCACATCCACTTTTTTACAAGAAGTTTTACTTACTAACACTTATGAAACCTTTAAGATAAGTGGTCTCAAACATCAGGGAATCCTCTACTGTTTTACTTGTCACAGACTTTCACAGTACTTTAAAAGCGCTGCCACCGCTTCATCCGCCAGGTAGACAACGAACTGATGCATTGAATTGCGATCCTTCTCAATTTTGTTCAAATGAAGCTTTC